TTATTTTATTTATTTTATTTATTTTATTTATTTTATTTATTTTATTTTAATTTAAATTTTTATTTTTTTTATTTTGAGTGCAGCGGTGGTGCTATCAACAGTTAAAATCCGTCCCCCTGTTGATAGATGTATGAATGAGTCCCAGATCTTAAACCTGAACTGACTACAATGAATCAACATTGTGACAAAGTACATTAAAAGCTAAATAAGAGGCAGCCACAGACATGATCATTATGTGATAATGTGTTGCAAACAAACTGAGCTTATAACCTTATAAACAACTCTTTCATAGACCATCTTCTGTACTCTCATATCATGTGAGAAAAGGGTCGTGAAGTTCGTCTAAAAATTCAGATAGTCTGCTACTGTTTGCTAAATGTCTGCGTTGTAAATCGAGGCAATGCCGTATAACGAAATCAAAAATAGTCAAAAAGGGTAGCATGTGTGTATGCTTGAGGATGTGCTTTAGGAGATTTGTGTTTAAGGGAGAATTCATCCCTCTCTCAGGGTCACGGACCTCACAACAAAAGTCTAATTCATGTCCAGAAGATTGAAGATCTGCCTCATCATGACCGACTACAGTCACAACTCTTTGCGGATGTGGAATGAGACACAGTCATGAGATGCACCGCAAAAATTTATGGAACTTTCCCAAACCCCAAAAATAGTGCTGAGAGTGAGTCAATTCAAAAGCACGCACGGATATCAAGATGAAAGGAAAAAGGGAAAGAATATCATAAGAGTTCAAAATCACTTCCGTCATTCTTTACTCTAAAATATACTTCTTTTATTGTGTTCATATTATCTGTTGGATCTTTTAACTGCAGTGGTTTATAGTCTACTCGCAAATGGAGGGAAACACACGCACACACACACACACACACACACACACGCCTGATGCCTGTGAAACCATTAGAAGTCATTAGCTCTATAGCTGCAAGCAGGAGCGTTTCTCTCAGTGGCATCGTGTGCGGTTGAGGTCTCTTTGGTCTCTAACACCGGGCGAACGTCCGGGGTTTAGGTTTCACTTTAAAGACTCGCATTGAGCTAAAGCAGCTGTGCACTTCACACCCACGTGTGAGCATTTTTGAAGACCTTTGTAGATAAAATGGAAGAAGAAATGGGAATATAAAAAGATATTAAAAATCAAGATATTTCTAGCAAACAGTATCTGTTTTCAGTTGTGGACCACTGACTTCATGGCATGGCTTCATTGAAAATGGCTTCCGAAATCTTGCTTGAACTGAAGCTACTACAGTAAACACCCACGCAAGTTAGGACTTTAAGAGTCAAGAAAGTACTGTTCTTATCGCAGATGTTTTGAAGGAAATAAAGAAACATTTTGCTCATCTTTTGGGCTGCAGACTGCATGTTTTCTACTGTACCGTCTGAAACAGCCACGTGGAAGATCTCAAACTCTATTTCTAAATGAGTACAGTCCTGTTTTTCCTACTTGTATCCATTTAAATTGTACTGAAGGGCAACTTTTCTTTTGTAGAGTCAAGGACAGACGAGAGAAAGTGATGGACGATTAAACATAATTTGGGGGAACAACACCCAGCAGCACAGCTCCTCTTGGCTCACTATCACTTTTTAAAAGGATGGCGTTGAGGGTGGGAGTGGGGGGGGGGGGGTTTGGATCTTGTTGTCCGGATAGCACCGGTGACATCAGCTAAGAAAAATGTGTGTGTGTTTCTCAGTGTGTGTGTGAGTCAGTCTCTGAGAAAAAGCAGAATCGGGAGGAAGCGGTAGAGGAAGAGCTCTCACTTTGTTCTTTTTTTCTCAGGAACAAAACTCAGGAGACCCAGAAAACTATTTTGATTAAAAAGCTGATGTTTTAAAAAATGCTTTTTGACAGCCTAACCCTTTCTTACTGTCCTCCCAATGCATGCTGGGATACTATCAACCCCGAATTTATGGTAAACGCTAAAGAAATGAAAGATAAAACTGAATTTCAGGTCAGTTTGGCAGTTTGTTTGGCAGTTTTTTGGCATTTGCAGGAAATTGATCACGGGCCAAATGCATTTGATACACGCCACTTTGATTAATTCACAGCTTGGTCAGCTCCGTGTAGAATATGCAGCCATTGTTCACTGCTGGCTAAAAGAGTGGTGGTGTCCGTGGCTGCTTGTTATCTTCTTGTTATTATCCTTCATTGTGTATGACTGTCCTCGGGTCCATGGGTGGATTATGAGACAATGGGCCCCTGGGCACAGACATGGAAAAGGCCCCACCATACCCCTCCGACATAAGATGGACAGGCTATAGTTGTTTAGTCTCTTGGTGTTTTATGTCTTTTTGTAGTTATTTTGTGTCTTTTTTTGGTGGTTTTGTGTCTCTTTTTGTAATTTTTTAGTCATTTTGTATCTATTTTGGTTCTTTTGTCTTTTTGTAGTTATTTTGTGTCTTTTTTTGGTGGTTTTGTATCTCTTTAGGTTGTTTTGTGTCCCTTTTACTGTCTTTTTTTGTTGTTATGCATTTGTTTGTGGTTGTTTTGCATCTCTTTGTCATCGCATGTTTCTTTGTGGTCATCTTGACTTGTTTTTTTGGCGGTATGTCTGGTGAAGTGACATTCTGCAGGTGAAGGCCGAGGGGGCTTTGACACATTGGGCCCCCGATGAATTTCAATGAATTCCTAATCAAATTATTTGAATTTAAATGTTTCTAAATTGTCATTCATTTATTCCTCCATGTGTCGTATATTGACAGAGTGAGCTGTTGTTTTCAATAGACGATCTCTGGACGAATCAGACAGCGTGCTTAACCGTGAGAGAGAGAGAGAGAGGGAGAGAGAGAGAGAGAGAGAGAGAGAGAGAGAGAGAGAGAGAGAGAG